CATATATATATGTATCTATATATATATATACATATATATGTATCTATATATATATAGATACATATATATGTGTATATATATATATATATATATATACATATATATGTATCTATATATATATAGATACATATATATGTGTATATATATATATATATATATATATATATATATATATATATATATATATATATATATATATATATATATATATATACATATACAAATGATACTAAACAAAAACACGAGGAAATGACTAGAAAACTAAAGGCTGAGAATAACCAGAATGAAGCTAACTATGGAGCTGGGGGACTGTTGCTATCGTAAACAGGGAGAGAAAACATGATAACTAAATAAACACAGAGAACACAAGAGAAAGCAGACATCAGCTTTAAAAAAATCAGTTTTAGTTTGAAAGAGACCACTAGCTTTGGTTGTAAACATGCAGTTATAAAGACTTAAAATATATGCCCATTTTTTTCTTATTCTGTTTTAGGGAATATTTTACATTCATTTTACATTTCCAGAGCTTTTATATTTCCCGATCACTGTCAGACGTACAGTGAATACTTAAACATACACATTTTTCACTGTAATCACAGCAAATTCCTGTGAAACTGAAACTGAACTCACCACTTTTGTCAATGAATCCCATCGACATATAAATATTGGACAATGGGTTTCCATAGCTCCAATAACACGTTTTTGAGGCCAAATGGGAGGTGGCCACCACCGCCATTTTGACCGTGTCACAGGTTCCGTCAAGCCCAGACAATTCCACAAAAGGGAAGAGAGGTGGAGCTGAGGGTGGGGCTGTAAGGCTGGGATCAACTGACGACACCCGGTCGAACTAGCTACAAGCTAACCTGAAGCTAACCCAAAGCTAACGCGGAGGTGGGAGCTAAGCTAACTGAGGTAGCAACCTAGCTACAACTGGAGTTAACTGTGCACAACACCAGAGCTTCTGAGTCAGAGATACGCCGGGCTGACCGCTGGGTAAAACCGGGTGGAGCACAGAGGTCTCCGAGAACTCCACAAGCCGGCAGCCGCACAGCAGACAAGCGCCGCTGCGATCTGAGATGCGCAGAGCTGCCGCTGGGGAGAAGAACCGGGTGGAAAGGTTTCCATCCCAGAGCTCCACAAGCTGTCAGCCCGCGCAGCAGACAGGAGCCGCAATCAGACAGATGCGCCGAGCTGCGGGGAGGGGAGAACCGGGTGGAAAACATCGGTCTCCCGAGAGCTCCACAAGCCGATAGTCAGAACCCAGCTCCACCAACATGTTATATTACAACCCATTTTCTAAAGTGCAGCATTATGTTAAATGCACTGGGTTTTACCCTATTACATTTAAATTTCATGGTTAAACAGTACATGTTAAAATCTAAGCTCAGCTCGGCAGTGACCTAAAATACATAAATATAATTTTACTTACCGAAAAAAATGAAATGGAGACTCCTTGGACGCTCTATTAGTGCAATTAATGCCACAGCAAGTCATTTTGTCCAACAATTGCACAAATAATATCCAAACAAGAATACACAAACACAGAGACTCAAAATCCCGGAACAGTTTCCAGGCCAGACAGAGGCTCTACTGAGGCCTTTCCACGGAGCTAGCTCTGTGGTCACGTGGGTCTGATGCTCATTAATTATTCAGAATTTTAGGCTTTTAATACACTTAAACAGAAGAGTGAGAAAAACATTCTCCCCCCTCAGAGTTGTCATGAGTGTAAACTAGATCATTTAAACCAAAAACATGTTCTGGTACCAGGCTGTAAACATGTTTATTTCTGCTGTGAAACTGGTATTTTTAACATGGGAGTCAATGAGGATTTGCTCGCTTCTGACACCAGCCCCTAGTGGATGAGGGTGGAACTGCAACTTTTGGTACTTCCGTGTTGGCCTCAATTTTTGAGCCGCATTGTGGGGGCCTGGTGAATCCTCTGATGATGGGTGTCACTCAAACTGCATCTTTTGAAGGGTTGCTGCCAATCAGATGCCACTTTTATTGTCCCCCAAACCTGCAAGCAACTGTGGAGCTGAAGAGCTCAGAGTTGAATCCAAACTCCACTTCACACTTTTGTATTCTCCAAAATGTTAAAGCGCAGACTCTAAAACGGCTGATTTTCAAGTGCTCTTTAAAGGCGATCGCTATTCAGAGGTAAAATGCACATTTTAGCTGCAAAGACCAAGGAAACAATGTCTGATGATTTTTTTAAGTAAATGATAAGAAAGTTAGCATGAACCTTCAATTTCTGAGGACAAATTTCTGCAGTTTGAAAGTTTGTTGATACACTCAGAACTGAGCTAAAAGAAAGGCTATTTTTCATCTTGATTTTGTCCTTTTCTCTTTTATTTTCTTCATAATACATGACTAACCCTTTACCTTTCAGATTTAGCATGTTTTACTCCTTATATCTCATCCAAATGTGCACTAAACTGAACAATCAGAGCAACGAATGGAGTGTTTCTCAAATTTGCTGTTTGAGTAAAAATTAATAATACATATAAATTGTCACATCATTTCTACTTTATGTTTCATTATAACCTTTATTGGCTCAAACGAGTTAAAAATGCACTTTTTGAAGTTAAAAGTTTAAACACCTGCACATACAAGACATGGAATAATCATGAATTGTTGACCTTTATTGAGAGATTTGCACACATCTTGCACAATTGTTGTTGTGTGCAAAGTAACAGCCTTGTGAATATTTATTTTAACGGTCTGTGTGCAGAGCTGCTGACGAACTGTCAGGCCTGTGTGCACTTGTGCTGCGTTACGCAGGGAGTTTATGTTTTCTTTCTGGTGTTTGACTTCCCAAAAGCTGTTGGGTGGATGCAGAATAAGGAACCAATCAGCAACACAAACACAACCAGCTGAAGAAGCTCCAAGACAAACAAGACTCAGTGGGTTTAGAAGTACACCACCTCCATTTACAATCAATTAAGTCATCATTTCTTCAGTCCTTAAAAATGGAACATGTAATTTCATATTGGGGCTCTTTTCGTGTATAAATTATGTAAATCTAAAATCTAGAGTGATTTATTCACCTTGTGCTTGTGCACACTATGCATTTCTGTTGGGGTGTTGCATCATCCGGCATGAGGGTGCTATTACAGTCCTGAGACACGACTCTCCAGCGATTGCTCTGACAGCTCGGCGCTGCAGGGAGGTGATATTTTCTACCTGCAGGTATGAGTCAGGTTAGACAGTGTGTTGTTCTGCGAAAGCTGGGTCCTTGTGTGTGTGTTTGCTTGAAGCAGTGTGTGTGTGTGTGTGTGTGTGTGTGTTCTCCACACTTGCTAAGTGGGGAGAAACTAGGACACGATCTCTCTGCAAAGGTGCTGTTCTAATTACGGCCGGCTTTGCACTCCGGCTGCTCTGGCCTACTGCACCTCCATCGAGTCGCCACCTTTCAGAGCTCACTCAGCTTTGCTGCACCCTCTGCTATTATGATGTGCACAAATACTGCTGAATGTCATGCATTCCCCCTGCTGAGCCATGTTTATTTTGTGACCTCGAAGCAGCCGTTGAATTTAATATACGAACTTGACCAAACATCTTCCTGACGGGCTAGCCGAAGGAAGCTCCCGTGCTGCATTACGCTTGCCTCAGAACTGGAATGTTGGAATGGCGTCAAACCCGTCTTGAGTGTTAAAGGTGTATTTCTCTGCAGTCAGACAGTAATATGCATGTGTCTGATTAGATAAGACACACACACAGGCAGTAATTATAGCGTTGTATTACTGCCGCCATCGTTGGCTTTGATGTGTGAAGCAGCATGTTGGATTTTGAGATGGGGGCTGGTTACCTTAAGAGTTTCTGAAATCAGAATTTGTGATGCATTCCAGTTGATTTTTCAGATTTTTTATTTCATCCATCCATTATTTTCCACTTGTCCAGGTTCATGCTGCGGGGGCAGCAGCCTAAGCAGGGAGGCCCAGACTTCCGTCTCCCCAGCTGCTTGGGCCAGCTCCTCCAGGGAAGCACTAAGGCGTTCCCTGGCCAGCCGAGAAGCATAGTCCCTCCAGCGTATTCTGGGTCTTCCTGTGGGTCTCCTCCCGGTTAGACGTGCCTCACCAGGGAGGCATCTAGGAGGCATCCTAATCAGATGCCCGAGCCACCTCAACTGGCTCCACTCGATGTGGAGGAGCAGCGGGTCTACTCCGAGCTCCTCCCTGATGATCGAGCATCTCACCTTATCTCTAAGGGAGAGCCTAGCCACCCTGCGGAGAACACTCATTTCAGCCGCTTGTATCCGCGATCTCATTCTTTCAGTCACTACCCAAAGCTCGTAAGGTTAGGTGAGGGTAGGAACGTAGATCAACCAGTAAATCAAGAGCTTCGACTTCCAGGTCAGCTCTCTCTTCACCACAACAGACCGGTACAAGGCCAGCTCCAGATCAAGCTCCCGCTACATCTTTCTCTCATACATGAACAACACCCTGAGATGCTTAAACTCCTCCCCTTGGGGGGTAGGACCTCATCCCTGACCTGGAGAAGGCGTTCTACCCTTTTCCAACTCAAGACCACGGTCTCGGGTTCAGAGGAGCTGATTGTTTCAAGAACAAACTAAACGTACAGTTGCTGTTTTATGGAGCCAAAATTAAATAAACCGATAAAAACTGGAGTGACACAAATAAAAGGCGTAGATAGTGAGAGGTTTGAGTATCAGGAATAAACAATAAAGACACCTGTAAATATCAGCCCGTAACTGGTAACAAAAGAGATTTAGTGTTTGTAAGTGTTTCTACTTGTTTTTGTGTCCTCATGTCTTCTAATGTCCTTCTGAACTCCTGCTTTTCCTTTTCAATGCAAACGTGTTGGTCTGATCAACAAAACCAGCATAAAAGTACCAAAACTGATGTTTTTATGGATGCACATAGCCCACAGATACGCTGAATGTCCTATAAGATGTGGACAGTCTTCCGTGTGTATGCGTGTTCTCATTTTAATAACACACCCTTACACTTGGAGGTTTTGTTTTGTCCTTTCCGGACCAGGATGTGTGCAGCGAGGCGGAGGCTGCAGACCTGATGGAGCGCTGTGAGCTGATCAGTGACAGACTGATGGCCTTGGAGGACGAACTGCAGACGGCTTTGCTGAAACAGGATCGAGCCCTTACCCATATCCTTTCTCTCTGAACATACATGAATCACACAGACTGGATGTTTGTGTGTCTGCGTCCGTCCGTCTGAAGGACCGCTTTCCTCCGGCCTTTTTCCTAAAGCTAGATGCTGACTGATGTCGGTTTGCAGTGGCTTCACCTTTCTGAGGGAAAAGCTGTCATTATGGATCCGTTTTCCAGGGAGTGGATGGTAAACTAGGATCAAAGAGGTTTTTTTTTGTTGTTATTTCCTGACAGACTGGATGTGCCGACCAGAAAATGAAACGGTAAAAGTCCACGCGAGGTTATTAAAGGGCCACTGATGTGCGCTGCCAGTCACTGCGAGCTGAGATTAAAGCCGCCCGACAGGAGCTGCGCCGCAGCAGATAGAGGAATGTCACTGTGATGACTGCTCCTGTCAAATCTCAATGTCCATCCTCCGTCTGACCCCCCTTCCTCAGCTCCACTCCCCTCCCCTTCTGCCCGGTTCCGGTGGGGAAGAAAATTACAATATCCATGATAATAACTCAAATCCAACTGTTGGAGCTGATTACATCACTCTCTGCACTAATTAGAAAGTTGATTGGAATTAGATCCGTGTGTTTTTCTTGCGCCTGCGTCTCCTCTTCCGTGTTGCTGCCTTATTAAGCCAGATAATATTTCAGAACCGGAGGTAAGGAAAATTTGCCACCTGACTTTTTATCATCACCCTCGATCACAAGTTATTTCTTCTTCTTTGAAAGCAACCCGGCAAAAATGCCTCCTAACATAACGAATCTCTGAACACAGCATGCCACACGACCCATTTACCTAGATGTTTGAACGTTTTCTTGAAGACCCGTGTTGACCACTGTGCTGTGAGAGGTCAACGCAGGCTCGTCTATCGTAAGCGTGATATCCATGCGTGCTGGCAGCTAGGAGTAGACGGAGACTGGCTCTCTCCTCTCCGGCTCTCTGTTCTCATGTCCAGATGTGTCACTTATTTCCTGTAGATGAAGTCCCTGCACTCATGCAGTAGGGCTGTGGACTCTTGAGGACACCAGAGAGGCAGGATGATATTGTTGGTTTGCAAAATTGAATGGAGCCCGTTCTAGCGATGGCGCTGCTGTTGCCATAGCGACAGGAAGATCAAACCAGCAGCCTGGAAGGGTCTTAATTGAATTCCGGCTCTCAATAATAATAAGACGTGTATGGACAACCACAGAGAGAGGGACTGGAGATGAAGATAGGAGGAATTTTGTCAGTGTTTGATATTAGCTTAAGAGATTTCCAACATAATCTTGAACATCTTCCTGTTTGAGCCACGATCCGCTAAAAATCTCGTGCTACCTTTTGAATTATTCATGCGTGGCTCTTTAACGGGTGTCCACTCAGGCCCCATCTGCCTTTAAAGTCGTCCCTTTGATTTTCCACTGAAGCCGGACACCCACACCATTTGTTTAAGGTACTAAGCAGGTTAAACAATCCTCCAAACTGATGACAGCCAGCATCCCGTTCCATCATGACGTTTCATGAATAATTAAGATCGGCGGTCTGCCTGCATGGGTTCGCACTTTAGATGAGCTCATGAATACTGAACTAGATTAGGGTTAAAGTGGGTATAAGTCGATGGTCTGTAATCTGTTTGGAGGCTGGTGGCTGCATGGCGTCACGGCTGACCTCAGCTAGCACCGTTAGCCATTACAGTCAACAAGTCCCACTTTTTTCCTTGATGTTTTTCTGTTGGCGTGTTTCTAATTTGCACAGCAAGCAGACATAATCGTTTCCCTTAACTCACGCTGCACAGTCCTTAGAAACAGAAGTTCAGCAGGTAAAGTCCACTTTACAGGCCATGCTCGCACAGCTGAAGGTGGAGGAAGAGGAGGAAGAGGAGGGAGAGGAGCTGAATGACCTGATGAAGAATGGGACTCTAGAGGAGGAGGAGGAGGAGGAGGAAGAGGAGGACCAGTACTTCAGTGACAGCTGGGACATCTGAACCTGGAGCAACAGCAAGAATCTGACCTTGGTGTTGAATAAAAGTGACCTCATTATCAGTTTACAGATTAGCCAAGGGGCTTAAATGCCTGCGCGACATTTAGTGGAACTGCAAAAGGAAATAAACATCAAGGGTTTGATTGGCAGTACAGCCGTGGCCACCAGTTTTACATCATTTAGTCATCCTGAAGTAGGTCTTTAAACCTAGATTTAACTACTAGACATCCAAACAGGGCCTGGAAATGCAAACCAGAACAAACTGCTGTCCCCCTAGTGGCTGGCTGCAGCGTTAGTTTTAAAGGAGCATGGCGTAATCATTCCACAGTGAAATAATCACAAAACAGTCTAATGACTCAGTCATGGAAGGAAGGTCACAAAGAAACAGCTTTCATTCTCAGCTAACTAGGGTGTTGTCAGTTTTTCTCCCTTAAAAAAACTAAAGATGGACGTAGCCAGCACTCCGCCCACGCGCATCTGGCACTGTGCGTAGGGCACCAACTGATCAACCTTACCCCCCCCCCCCCCAGCTCAAACACCAGCCGTGTGGTTCAATCTTCAGTGGTCTCCAGTAGGAATGAATGTCCTGTAAGTCGTTGTCGGGGGGGAAAAATGTACCGGTGCACCTTTTTCAGGAGCTAGAAGTGAGCCACATCGCAGCTGAGCTTCAGACGGCAGGTTTTGTAGTCTATTTTTTCTGATATTTAGACATTTTGCCCCAGATTGGAGAACAGCAACGCAATTCTACCACTGACTTGACTTCCAACACTGATATCTACCTCCACAAATAACACAAGCCTGGAGGATTTTCTGCTGTGTGGTGGAGTTGCTAATGCTAACGGTTAGCTTCTACTAATCCAGACACTCTCAGCTGCTTCTTGGACGCTAAACCAACAACAACCTTCCCCGCCACGGGTCTAGATGGGTGAGTCCATGAACGTTAAGTGACAGAAAATAGACGGTGAAACTCTAGGATTTGAAAATCCTGACAGATCTACGTCACACTATCAGAAGCTAATGCAGGAGATAGGTGTAGGAGACTATTTTCATGTTCAGCCTGCATGTTAAACTCAGAGTGACTGATTGTAATCAGAAATAATCATAAAAAATGGGGTTTCAGTGAACTACGCTTGTTTGCTGCTGTTCTCGACTCCAGACCCTCCTCCCGAAGTCTCCTCCTCGATGTGCTGCAGATCTCTCACACCTGCCAGCGGCACCTTCTGGTCAAACTCTGAAGTTTATGCAAACTGATGACATTTGTGTCATTCTGAAAACTCTTGGCCGCCACTGTGTCTATGAAAAGGTTCCAGCTTGCAGACACTGACATGGGAATTATTTTTCACTTTACATGTTTTCGAGTATAAATAATGCATCAAAGGTAAAAAAGTGACATTTTAGTCCGTTTTGCTTTTCTTTTTGGGAAATTTGGTTTCAGTAACACTTTGACCAGCAACGTTCAGATGAGTCAACATCAGCTGGACAACATGAGGACAATCTAAGCTTTTTAACACGTTTGCACTCAAACTAATGCACGTTTAGTTTTTAAACCACTCATGAGTGTCATCTGTACACGTGGGCTCCACTTACAAGTGATGCTGTTTTATCAAAGTAACTTGTGGTGCTAAAAATGTGAGCAAGCTTGAACACTTTATTTTCTTTGTGTGGAAAATGCAATATTTAGTATTTTAAATTGTTTTTGTGCACAAATGTGAAAAGATAATATGTGTTATTTACATTTAAAATCACAGCAGTTATCCACTTTTCTGCCTGTTGATTCGATGTATTTCTGAGTGTTTTTTCCCCTCTCGAGTTTTGCCAGGAATATATTTTTAATTTACGGTGCAGCCTGAAGTCACTATATGATCTTTCAGCTTTCCTCCTAACAGCTTGTCACTAATTACAACATCTAGTGTTCAGTCTGACGCTGGGCCCTGCTGCTTTTCTGCTTCTATTGAATTATAAATCCCCGCTGGTGGTTTATTATTTTTCTTCCCCCAACATAAAATGTGTGGGCATGCTGCCAGGCTTGTGAGGGCAGCGTTGACATGTAGGAGATATCAGCACGTGAATAAAGGTCCTCTAGTTCGTTCTGTATTGGGCTTCTTTTGTTATCTCACCTCAGCAGCGGCAGTATGGCTAATTGGAAGGCTCACAGCGGACATGGTGGGGAAAAATGAAATGGTGTTTTGCCTCCATCTGATTCAGCCCCGTGTCGTCTGGGGGCGGGGGGTGCTGTTGAAGGATTCTCAGGCGCATTTACCATCCGGTGCTCTGGGCTGTAAACACAGCTGAGTGTTCAGGGCGTTTCTGCAGAAGCACAATGGCCCTTTCTCGCTTTACTGCCAGGTTGCAAAGCACTTGCCTGGCTACAGGGCTCCACATCTATCAGCTCCATGAGCCTGGAAGCTTCCTGCCACACACACACACACACACACACACACACACACACACACACACACACACACACACACACACACACGCACGCACACCTCACATGAATCTGTGCTAGCACCACACCGTGCTCCATGTGGAGGCTGTACTCATAAAATGACCACAAAGGAGAAACCCAGATGGTTTTCAGCAGGCAGGTGGGGCAGGCTGAGATGTGTCTTAATGTAAAATGAAGCAATGTGAAGTCCTTTAAAAATTCTGTTTTATTTTTCAGGATATCATATTTAAAAAAAACATATTTTTCTTGGTCACGCTAAGTTTTTTGTTTTGTTTGGGTTTTTTTAATATGCAGAATTTGCTCATTCAAGAGCAAATGCACAGAATAAAAGGGGATCAATAAAATATTGATAAAAAACAATGTAATATAGGAAAGTGTGTTTTTAGCAGCTTAAAAACAACATGCAGATATCCAGGTCAAAGTGAACGGGACTTGAATTTTCTTGAAAACGTTTCACTTCTCGACTGTGAAGATTTCTCCCTAGGCGGAAGGAGAACTTCAATAATGTGAGCTAGCAAACTGCTTCATTTATTTCTCCCTGACAATAGAGAATCCACTTTAGTCATAATCATTTTTGGTGCTGTTTATCTTCACTTTCGTGTGGAGGACAGGCCAAAGCATAGGAAACGTCTGTTTTCTGTGTGCAGATTCCCAAGAGTTACCTCGTCGGTAACCGTTTGTTTTCTCACACCGTGATCTGAACACTTGCCACTCACAAACCCCCTCAGACAACAAGTGGTTCATCCAAAGGACAGAATAACCCAACAGAAGCTGGATCTTTGGGCATTTATTCCCACAAGGAGCATTCAGACATCTCACATTAGGACCAGGACATCAACAAACACCAGGAGGCGGGATCCGGGGTTTTATTTCCAAGCTAGCTCACATTAACAAAGATCCACTACAGTCCGTACTACAGTAATACTTTACACCTTTCTGTTTGAATTAAGTAAGCTCCATGGATGACAAGCAAATTGTCCCCAAGGAAATAAAAAGCCCAGTTCCTTGTGGCCTGGATGACTGAGAACCTTCTCTAACGGCACCATCTTCAGGGACGAATGACTTCTGTATGGGAATTTAGTCTGGGATCCGGATGCACTTACTGGAATCACACGTGAATTATGTTCTTTCACAAGTAAAAGCTTCCTAAATCTTTGGTTTTATCAGATTTTCCTCTGATGCTCCTTCAACTTTAGATTTTTCTTGTTTCTTTTGGATCCTCTAAAGTTTCTGAAACTTCTGAAAAAAGATAGAAATCTTTTTCATTTGATGCGAGTTCAGGTCATCGAGTCAAGGACTCGATCAGATTAATTCCTCGTCTTGCTCGGTTGTTGTAGACATCCAGATGAAAGCCATTTATTTTATCACGACACAAAAAATGGCTTTATTTCATAATAAAGTTATGAAAATATTAGAAATAACTATATCATGATATAATTAATATATATTTTCCTAAATGGCGTGATAAAAAAACTGTCTGGGGGAAGTGGTCGATTCAGACAGATATAATCCATAGTATTCATAGTCCCCTTTTGTAAGCAGATGTCAGGTTGTACTTACAGGATATAGGAACCACAGAGCTGTGACCTAATTCTCTGACATCAGCATGTTAGCATGCTTACAAAACTATCACATGCTGATTGGTCATTTACAAAAGAACGGATTTCCACCCTTCTGGACCCTCTGGATTTGGATCCCATGTCTTTCTGCTCAGAGTTTGTAGGATGTTAGTTGAATTCCAGCTGCTGTAGGAGGTGATTCTCAATCTGGACCACTGGTAACCAAACATCTTAGCTTCTTACCAACAGAATAATTGTCTCAAAGACCCATGACCATAAATATAGGAGAACAACAGAAACAACTCAAATGAGCCATTTAACAAAAAGCCTTGTCAACTGAAAAATAACCTTTTAAACATTTACGTCCATCGTTTTTATCTCCAGCAGTCAAGGCTAAAATTATTTTCCTGGGTCCTCCATTAATTACGCACTTGCGTAATCACTGGACACCACTAGTGTGAGAGGTTCTCCGCTCAGTAATATCAGAGAAGGAGAAACAGCCGGCTGCTACCACTTCAGCTTTAGGATAAACTACCAGAAAAAGAAAAACACCAGTTTGAAGTCACGGACAACAAAAAATCTTTGGATCTAGAAAACGGCGATTGGTGTTTGGCACGATCTTGCGTCCTATTGCAATGTGGGTTTCCAGTCCCGGAGGACACAGAACCAGCAAAGATACCCGAGAGGAGGGGTGAGTGTTCCATGACCGTGTTTGTGTTCAAAACGTAGCTTGTTTGCAGATTCGCTACAGCAGCTTTAGCCTATGCTGAGCCACAACTCTTCAAATCACAGGTTTAAGAGATGCAATAAATGACTTTTGCACCGGATTCCATTTCCTGCATCTCTCCTCTGATCCAACACGCAAAATGCAAGGAAACAACTCCACGTCAGCATTTTTTAAATGTGTTTTGCTTCAAGCTCAGTGACCTTGAATTAAACATTTTTGATGTCACATCCTGTGAGATGAATCCCAGTTGGAAGTCTTAACGAGGACTCGTGTCGGGTTTACTCTGAAATGTTTTCTCAAAGGCAATCGCTTTAAAGGCTCAGACTTGCTTCTCTGCTCGTAAAAACATCAGCGTAATAAGATCAAAGTCAAAAGAAACTCCTTCTGACACGCCAACAAATCTCTATAAAGAATGAAAGAATCCAGTCAGTGTTGAGAAACACAGCAGTTATGAGAATGAAAGTAAAAGATCTGGGTTAGCTGAAGGAAGATGTGTTTGTGCTGCTGCTGTGTGTGAGAACATCAGATGGACTATTACTTCAATGTTCACACCGGGGGAAAGAAGAAAACAACATGTTGTTAGTGACTCCACCAGGGACACTTTAGATCCATGGAACAGAATCTCAGCTTCCGGTCCACGTTGTTCATCCCAAAGGAATCAGTCTTGTCTTTAAAAAGCTGAAAAGTCCC